TTCCTGTCTAGTCTCACCTTCAGTTCCAAGAGTGGCTAACCAGATGCCAATGGAAAGCCCCCAAAGTAGACATGTGTATAATAGCATCCTGTTGTTATGGTCCCTAGCAACTAGTACTTAGAGGCATGTTGTCTTCAGTAAATTGTGTAATATATATTAAAATTATGCAATGCATCACATTTAATTCCAAATAGACACTTAAGAGTGCAAAGGGCACAAACATAGCAGTTGTCTGCAGCTCTTTAAAGCAGCCATGTCTTTTCCCAGAAGCTACTGCCCTCTGCAACAGCCATGCAGTCCCAGAAAACACCACGCTGCTTGGAAGAGTTGCCTATATATCTTAATACACCCCATTCAGTCCAAAGCACCTTTTAAAAATTAAATCCAAAGCATTGCACAGGACTCATATACAATGATTAGTAACTATTGATAGCCTAATCAGTTGGATCTTCTTTTAAATCAGTCAGGGGCTATCACTGTAAGTTTTACAGTTAGCCTATGTGCTGTGTTGAGTAGTATGGTCTCAATTTCCTAAACACAGAATTTCATTGGATTACCTTGGTTCTAACACTACATCCTTTATCATTCCATTTTTGCTAAAGTGAAAAAACCTCAAAAGTTACCACCTTTCCCTTATAGGGGAGCTTTCTCAATCCCATCATAATTTTTTATTAGCTTTTTTTGCGGCTTCTCAACTGTATATCTTTTTAAAGTATACTGACTTGCACCAAATATTTTCTTTCAAGTATGAACATATCACCAATTTATATAAAGACTTTACTTATACTATTCTCAGTTCTTACCTAATAATATCCCGCCTGGAATTTTCTTTCTATGGAAGTTACCATCAGTATATGCATCATACTTGTTTGCCCCAATGGACATGTAATCATTGTTTTACATTAAACAAAATTACCATTTTGGAAAATCCTTTATTTGTTTTTGTTTTAACCAATGTAAAAGTTGTTGATTAAAATAATGGTCAGTCCTTCATGATTGCTCTCCATGGTTTTGTTTCACAAAGGTAAAACAATATTGATACCAATTAAATGAAACTTCACATATCTCCTTACATGTTTAAGTCTCTCAAAAGGCCTAGGAGATGATTCGCATCAGCAGATTGGAAGAAAATCTGTTCTTGTATATATTTGCTTAAGAAGCAGATTACTATGAACAGATAAGAGAAAAAAAAGTCTTTGGGGATTTATTTTTATTTATTTACTTGTTATGCTGTAGTTTCCTTTTAATCTATTCCAGCAGATGGAGCCAGTAAGTAAGCAAAACAATTTATGAATCAATATCACAATAATCTTCTAGACTTCTTATATTCACTTATGCTTTAAAGACCATCACAAATAGAGCAACTTTCAGAGGCTGCCATGGAATCCTGTAGCATCTGCTATAAGAATTTGTGAAGATGTTTAATTAATAATAAAGCTAGATATTGGGTATATTAGGTAAACCTGGATGACATTTCAAACGGTGAAGAATTTACCATTCTTTGGTTAAAAAAATGAAAGCAAATACTGAGGAGTGATGGCACAGTAGGAAAACAGGATTCTAGTTAACATGGAGAACCTACATGGAGAAAGAATCTTCTTCATCTGAGATCACCTTCTTCATACAGGCAGTATTACACACCTTGCTAGCACGCAGAATGTTGCTATTCCAACTTAAAAACACATTGTCAAGAGATTGCTAGTATAGCAATCAAAGCCACAAACTGTTTTCAGGGAAAGGCTTTGAGAGCAATTAGAATAAAACTTTTAAGCTACTTCTGAAGACAATCATTTATCTCTTTTGTTTGGTGAAATAATAAAGCAGATATCTCGTCCAAATGTAGAAGCAAAAGAATCCATGTACCTTGTGGAAAAGCATGAAAAGCAAAATGCCAAGGGCAAAAAAGCAAAAATGTTTTCTTCCAATGTACCTCCATATAACAAATTAGCAAAGAGAGGAGGATAATTAGATCACAATGATATAAAGGAGGAGCAGGCAGGAATCGAAAAAATGTAGAATATCTAACAGACTTTGTTTTATATATTCCACCTTATTCCACCTTAGAAAGCAGAGCAGTTTCCAAATGAGCCAGCTGTGAGGAATGCGTGAGAATGAGATGTATATCTGTGAGAAGGTATAAATGATGTATGTGTATCTGCAGTAAAGTGTTTGGGGTCCAACTGCCTCCATGGGAATGTCCACTCCATTCAATTTGATTTATAAGCTCACCCACTTTGGCTAGCAGCCCCCTCCCCACCTCCCGCCATACACATACACACACTCTCCATCACTGTTGGCATGCTGCTCCCAGTGCATTTGCTAGGCACCAAAAAGTCCTCTAGAGAAGACAGCTCATATATGTGGAGGCAATAATGACATCTGCCTCTGACAGCTGCTAATCTGATCCTTCCTGATGGAAGAAAACACAGGCCTTTCATACCAAATATAAGGTCACAGCAGGTCCTTACTGATAGAGATATTTTCATGTTTTTCAGATAACTAACTAATAAACCATTTAACAAGGTTGGATACATAACCAAGTCTGAATTTCTCATTTTGGTGAAGAATCTGAAGAAGGTGACAAAGGGTGAAAAATTTAAAACTGAAAATCAAATTGCATATCAATATCTCAGAAGGCTAGAAGGCATTTTTAGTGAATGCTTAAATTCTGAGTCCAATATCACACAGAAAACCTGGGGACAGAAGGACACTTTTGCATGCAAAGGTAAAAGGCAGGACTACTATGCTTTTATCTGTTTCCCCCAAATGCAAATAAATGCTCCCCACTTTTCATAATGTCTGAATAAGGCCACTGTGGCATCACTATTACAATACAAGTCATAATATCAATTCTACAGGCATAACAAAAATGAATCCAAATCAAAGCCATGTTAAGTCAATAGTTTAAAGTGCCATCACTCCCACATAAATCTGGATTCCCTCTCTTAGCTGTTATTTAGTTCAACATACTGTAAAGTGTAACCATCTGATTAATGTTGTACAGTATCTCCTTTGCCTTTAACCTGACATTTTTTTCACAACCTGGCTTCTGGTTTGTTATAATAAGTTCAGATTCCATCAGCTTACATATGCCACTAAGGTGTTTTTTGTTTTTTCTGCTCTGGCTTTGTTCAGTGTGCATTGTCATACATAAACATGAGATGTAATTTGCCATGTCATCATTCTCTATATGGGTTCCCGCACTAGCTAGCTCCTCCTGGGAAGAGGATTCTTGAGTAGATAAAACTTTGGTCTGATCCAGTGAAGCATTTCTTTTTCCTAATTCTTTCCTCCTAACAGATACTTGCTAACAGCAATCTGGAGCTTATGGAATACCTCCATCTTTGAAGTCCTTAAATGATCTTTAATAACAAAGCAAAATAGAATAAAAAAAGGGAGGATCATGTCTGACCTGCAAGGGAGAGAGGGAAGGACGCCTATATATTGATATAGATATATAGACATAGATACATACACACACACACATGTACACACTCACAGACATACACAAAGAGAGAGAGCATAATATATTTGTATTACTCAATGATATACCACAAAGGTCCTGGCAATGGCCATAACTATTGCTCTTCTACAATGATCCATTGTCTTGCAAAACTTCGTTGCAGTAAAATGAAGGGCAACTGGAATGTGTCATTCCACCAGATACTAATTTGGAACAAATTAATGCACTGATCGGCTTAATAGAAGTGAAAAAAAAGGACCAAAAATTATACACAAATATTCTGCCAGTACCAAGGGGAACTCCTAATGCTCCATCCTTTATTTTTGTTAAAAGCAAAAGTAAACCAGATTCCATATTCCAATAAAATTAGTGCTTCACTGAATGTTGGGTTCATGTCACCCCATAGCCATAACTGCCTGTGTTGTTTTTGACATAGAAAACCATTATGATTTATGTCAGGGATGAGAAAAATGAAGCCTGTCTCTAAAATATATTGACTGTTATTCCAGATGTAGTAGTTGCATAACATTCGTTTCATGCTAGTCCTTATGATTTAAATCAAGAATTATTTATTTAGATGTTTAAAAAATAAGGGTGTGTAATGTTGTTCCTAATGAGAGCAAAGGAGAAAGGGGCAATAAAAATCATTTTGCTGACAAAGAGGTCTCCCTATGCAACTTTTTGTTTTCGCACATCCCATCCACAGTAGGGGGAAATGGAAAACCTTATTACTCTTATTTTTTCAAGAATTACTCCTACACCAGCAGAACCCCCAAGGAAATGTTATACTTAAATATTGTATTCAGTATAAAAATTAATTGCCTGTTTGTAATTTTAAACAGTCATTGGCAAATGAACAGCAAAAGAAAGAATCTGGTAGAGGAGAAACTTGCACATGAAGGCGTACTTGTATGAGGACAGGATTCTTGCTTACAAATGTGCTTATCTACTTATTTTCTCTATCCCACTATATTCATGGGCAGCATCCAACTTTTGTAAGGGTGGAAAATCACTAAAACTTTCTGCTTGCCTTGCTCAAGCTCAAAGGATAATTGTATATTTTAAATAAGAATAAAACAAATGTCTAATGCTAAATCAGAATGGAATTACTATTTTAATTTACTGAGACTGTGATCCAAGGTCTTTAAGACAACCATCATTTTATCCTGGGGCCATTGGATATATCAGATTTGTTTTTCCAAGGCTGATTTTTTTTTTCAGTGATCTTGGAAAATCTGACTTTGGTTCCCTTGACTGGTCTCCATGGAAGCATCTCTAGAAACTTTCTTGATGTCTATCAGCCCTTCAAGGTAGACCAGACTAGGAAAGTTATTAATGCTAATGTTACTTTTATTATAAGGTTACACTAACAAAATCATGCAAGTCTGAATACGCTTCCTCCTGCTTCCCTTTATCTTCATAAGAACTAGAGAGGACCATGTTTGAGACACTTTCTCAAATTACATTTCTACTCCAGATTCAGATTTCTTTTATCTGACTGTTGTCTTGGTTGTGGCTCTTCCTCCTGTTCTTCAAGGTTATTCCTTCTGCCCATTACAATGTCAGAGCTTCAACACTATCAGAGAGGAGAAGAGGGAGAACCAGGGATCATAACATAAATAGAAATAGGAGAGGTAGTACATCTGAAAGAGGCAAAGACTTTTCAGCCTTCCATCGTGGAAGCCTATAATCCAGAGGAAAATATGGACCAGACCTGAAAATGACCTTCTTTGGAAGAAGGGGCATAAAGAGTAGTGAATATCATTCTCCTCCCTGACTTCAGCAAATCTGGAATGTTCTCAACAGGGTTCATGGAGTGCTTTGAACCATCCAATAGAACTGCTCTGTCCAGATATATCCACAAAATGAACTTAAAAGGGGATAAATCTATATGGAGTACACATCCATACCATGCAGTCCAAAGATACTTATAACTTCATCCCTCTCCACATCCTTGGCTATGTAATCCATGACCTAGAGTTTGTTATACATTGGAGTGAAAAGGATTTGCCCATCATCTCATTCCATAGAACAGTTCTTTTTTTTTTTTTAAGAAAAACCTTGTAACTACTAGTATTATTATTAGTATTATTCCAGAGGACATAACTTGAAATCTCATTCCTATCAATTGTAGGCCTTTGTGCCATAGGAACAAAGAATCTGGAGATTGTGGAAGACACAGGAGAAATTACTCACTTTTTTATTAAGCCTTCTGTCAAGGGAAGGACATTTGTTTAAATGAAATATTTTAATAACTAAAAAGGAGTCAAAATGTATTAAAAGGATCAGAAGAAGAGATGGATAAATCTGCCAGTTTCATTCCACTTCCCCTTGGTTAGCAACTTTTCTTATGATATGGTAAGACTGGACATTTCTACCTCTCTAAAATTCCAGCACTTTCAATGTTTTTTAACCACCCAGTTAAAAAGAGACCGTTGAATCTTCTGCACCAATAATGCAAGTAATACAGAATATTTTTCTACAGACCTCAGCCTATGCTCCACATTTCATTTTTGGAGTACCATTTCTTCCTAATGGTAATATCAACAATCAGACAGGCTGACAACTAAAGCTATTCGGAATCCTCCCTTGATCTTTAGGCAAGTGTCTTGCTTTAATGGACAAGGTCATGCTCCTTCCTGTCCCTGCCCCTCCCCTTTAATAGCAAGTGCTTGCAGGGATGACCCTTTTGATAACGGAGTCAGAGAGGTCAAAAGCCGGTACTAATTGCTGTCCCTTAAGATCTCTGGCTGCCTTTTTTTGTATTTCAAATATATGTCCTCCAGAGGTGTTGGAAATACAGCCTTTGGTAAAAATACTATTGTACCTAGCTTACTTATGGGCACCTGATGCACTTTCCAGGATTCGTCTTGTACATACAGATCTAAAGTGCGCAATTCAATACCTCCAGGGGTCTGATTAATGCATAAGAGTTTTACAGCATGCAAAATTCCTTTTAGCATTACTTACTGTAGTTGAAGGTTTCATGAAATACAGTTCCTATTCCTCTCAGCTGTCAGTGTATGTGCTTCTGTTATCTGTACATGTACACAGAGAAGGAATATTTAGTGTATTCTATTCTATTGTACCATGGTTTACTATATTATTGCATTATTGTTTCCTTAGAGTTGATTGAGACTAAAGCGGCATATAGGTTTCTTATATATAAACATCCCCACAGGTTCAAAGAAGAAAATGGTAATCAGCAGAATCAAACATGAGACTATGTGATGAAATAGCTCCTTTTTTTCTCTTTTTCCATGGTATCTTATTTTGAAATAATGTTTAAAATAAGAGGTAGTGAAAAAGAATATACACTACATTGTGACAACATCAAAAAAATATTGTTGGCTTGATTAACTGTTCAGGATAGTACCCCATGAAAGATTCAAAAAGTTATATATTTATATGAATTATATTATTTGTTTCTTACCCTGTGAAGTAAGAGGCGACATGACAAGACCTTCTCTGCCATGTTGCAAAAATAACACATACAGATAAAACCCCAAAGAAATAAAAATAATCAAGCCTTTTTTCACAGGGGAAATTTAATGCAATATTAAATTTCATAGAAAATCCCCCACAATTTCAAAATTTTAATTGCACAGCATTTTTGTAATATTAATGGAATTTGTTTTGCTGTTATCATTTTAGTGTTTTCTTCTTTTTTTTTCTTTTTTGTTTGCATTGAATAATTTAATTCTTTTTAGGGATGTACCTTCTTTTACAATAGCTTAAATGAAATTAAATTTAATAGCTTTGTTCTTTATTACTTATGCTAGCTGTATTGCTCAAAAACTCAGTCAAATATTATTTTGCCTACTTAAAAATCGAGTCTTTTGGTAAGGCAATTATTTATTTTTTATTTATTTATCAAATTTGTCACCGCCTATCTCGTAGAATAACCCTGGGTGGTTTACAACAAATGAGGGAGGCAGCATTTTTGTGAGCCTGATATCAGCATTTTACTCTCCTCTCTTTATTTTCCCTATACTTCAGGGATTGTCTCGCCTAGCATTGCCTCACTCTAATGAGTCAACTGCAAGATGGAGTAGTGAATGGTGAACAGAATAGGACAGATGAACTAGAAAATAAGCCCTTGGAATCTGCGACTGAGCCTACTCACTCTGAAGGACAACATGAATAACAATTGTGCTTACGGTTGATCTCTCATATACAGGGAAGCCACAGACTTGTTGTGGTATGGGACATGGAAATCCCACTGATAATGTCCTTTCTGGCAGAATGCAGAGCTTTGCTAGCCACTATAGCTGAGATGGCTACAAAAATGTGGGATCCATTGACACAAAGTTGCATAAAAGCGGAGTAAGGACACCAGTCAATACTACTCTTCTACCAACTCCATCATTAACTATGGAACAGATGAACAACAAGTAGCCAATCCCATATAAAAAACATCGTAATATCAAAAAGGATAAAACTATTAAGTGCTCTGAACTTTGCAAATCAAAGGGGAAGCTAAATCTTTAAAAGAAATGATAAATATTCTTGATAAAGAAAGTGATCATGGGAAAGGTACATTCAATCTCAAGGATAAGAAAGCCAAAAGGCTACTGATCAGTCATGAATGTCAAGATTCAACTTAGATGCCTAGTTTAAGAAACAAAGATAGGGAAACCACAGCATGTCTGCTGACTTACACCAGCTTAAGAGCAGTCTTTAAACAACAAAGTAGAAAACCTGAAAGACTCACTATGGAGTTCTGACATCTCCTGCCAGCTACAATGCTTGCTGCCGCCTGAAAGAGGCCAATAATTCTGTCTGGCCTTTACAACTTGATAAAAATAAGCTAGCATTCTTAATTATCCAAAACCAAATAGTTACCTAACTTGATTCAAAGGATTACTTTCTCCATACTTTCTTTTTTTACTTTTTTTTTTTTTTTTTTACCCAATCCAAGGATACTGCCAGGACTGATTACCTACCCTATAAACACAATTCACACCAAGCAATAGTAACATTTTCTTCACATAAAGTTGCTGAGAAGGTTTTTAGACTGAAAGCTATACTCATTCACCAAAATGCTTTAATATCAAGCTTTTTCCAAAACAGTTTAGTCTCACATCCTCTTAAGCCTATGGCTAATGGAGAGCCAAAACACCTGAGGACAACAGATGCTTTGTTTAGGGAAAAGCAAGTAACAGTTTCTGCATGGTTGGGAGTGCCTCCCTCCAATTGTTCTTTTACACTTCAAGACATAGAGCAAGATGCACTGAAAGGGGATGTTGAAAATTTGGATTCTACTATCCAGGCAAGTGTACCCCATTGACTACTTTCTTCTTATCACAGGCTCTCCTAACTCTCAGAAAGAAATTCGATGGAATACTAGACTCTTAAGAACTTGAATACTAGAATTCTAGACTCTTAAGAATTTGGCATAACTTCTTCTCCTATTTATCCTATCTCTTCAAGTATTTCAGTAGAATTTGCTGTTGTAGCAGACTCTTACAATGGTCGTGTTTTCCATAACAAGGCAACTACTTGGTGTTCATGGATGCGCTCTACTAGTCTTCTGCTGTCCTACATAGTGGCATTGGTTGTTTCTGAGATGTTTCTGATGTATAGGAGTGTTATCCTTTTCATAGGTTATATTGGTTGTGCTGCAGTGAGTTGCGTGGTCAGGCACTTTCCACTTTTGTTGGAAGATGTATAGGCAGCCCGTTTCCTTTTTCTGGTGTTCTGGGCTCCTGCAGTGTGTTTGTGCTTGTCTGAATAATGTTCTTACATAGCTTCTCTTGTGGGAGGTTGGGTTGTTACTTTGGTAGTGGAACACTTGGTTAGTGTGAGTTGTTTTCCAATAGATAGACTTCAGTTTCTAACTTGCTATCATTTCCTCTGCTGATGAAGTTATCCTAGAAGGGTAGTGTGTTGTTGTTTTCTTCTTCCCTTGTGAATTTTATCCCTTTGAGGATGTTGTTGATTGTCTCATGTGTCTCTCTAGTTGTTTGTATATTTTAGATATGGACCTGAAGATAGGGCCTCCCTCTTTTTACTGATCTGGGATCAATATGTATGGAGTATAAATGCTTTAAACAAAAGAATAAAAGAATGGATAACCCAGAACAGCAGTCATCTTTCTTATGAATATCAGCAAAATATTGACCAAAGACTTTGTCCTTTGACACTTATCCTGGAAATAAAATGTTTACATACTACTGTATTTTAAAATAATAGCATAAGTACATTGCTTATATAGTAAGGATTACAGTAAGGATTTTTAGCTTTCTTCAGTGTGTGTTTCCCAAGTACTTCCTTTTTTGAACTAACCTAAGCAATATCAGTTTGTTCTCTGTAAACAAAATTAAATATTTCAATGGCATTAAGCCTGAACAATGACAATGAGTGATCTAGCAGTAGCCTTTGTTGGCTTTATTATGACAAGCACTATGGCAGCTGGTCTGTCAGTCACACCATAGGAAGCAGGAATTTTGATGGCTGCTTTTGCCACTGGGAATAATTAACTTTTGATTAGCAGGGTCAACAAGGACAGAAAGAGTGTAAAACAATAGGTGAGAAAAGGGGAAAGGATCTTTTAGAGAGTTGTCAAAGTAGCTCCAGATTATAGTATGTGCATGCTTCACATTCCTGGAAAATGGATAGTTTTTTAAGTTGTACATAAAATTGCCCCACTTTTTAAAGGCCAGGATGTCCACTAGTTTGAAAAGATTAGGAACAGCTAAGGCTATAAAAGAATGTAGCAAATAATGATAGGATGTAAAAGGAAAGGAAGAAAGATTCATATACTCCAGTTCAATTACTGTTAGCACTGCCAAGACATTTCTAGAATTTTAGAATATATATTTCCATCTTTATGAAAAATGATTCATATAATTGACAACTTTCTATGAAAATGGGAATAGGATGCTTCATGGGCTAAAAAAAAATCTCTTTGGTTGATAATACTATTAAAATATGCTTTAAAAAGCAATCAGGTTTACAAAATATGTAATGGAGTGGTAGTGGAGTATGGAGAGTACCTGAAGAGGAGAGTTGTAGGAGCTTTAGGATATGTGGTATTTTAAGTAGAAAAAAAGAGATTACAAGCTACTCACTAGCTTGTAAACTCACTAGGCAGAGTTAAGTGTCATATCCACTGATTAGTTGAAGAGCTTTACCTTAAAGCAATAGCATAGCACTTATTCCAGATACCTTTCATACTGAAAGTCAGTTATGTTTTTCCTGTTCAGAATTATACAGCTATATGAATTACTCATTCATAATTATTGGAAGTAGAATTAGCTCACCTGGTCGTGTTTCCTGTCTGGTCTACCTGGGAAGGCTGACAGTATGAGATCCCTGGGATCTCATACTCTGTAGGGGGCTCTTTGGGAGAAAAAGCACCTTGCAACCCTCCCTGCCAGTTTCTCCATTGACTTTGCTTGTGGGAAGCCAGTAGGGAAGGTCACAAATGGTGATACTTGACCGCAGGACACTGCAAATGTTGTTACATGTGAGCTGGTTGCCAAGCACCTGGATCACGATCATGTGACCACAGGGGTGCTGCGATGGCTGGAACTTCGAGGACCAGTTGTAAGTACCACTCATTCAGACCTGTTGCAACTTTGAACAGTTGCTGAATGAGTGGTTATTAACCGAGAACTACCTGTAGTATTACCTTTATTTCATTGTTACTATTAGAATATAAAAGGAATGACATTTATCTTGTTTATATATATATATCTGATTTCAAAATTCAACTGCTCCCTCAGCTATGAGATTATGGAAGTTAAAGCCCCAAATATTTGGAGGGGACCTGTTCATAAAATATATTTTTTTTCTGAAACTCAAGGTGGCATAGACAGCCTGGTCTCATACCCATCCTGACAATATTTAAACTTGGTTAGTTTCAGCATCATGTACCTTCAGATTACTGTATATCTGCCCACTATGAACAAATTCTTGGATAAGGACTAGACATGCACACACATTAATAAACTAAGCCATGTGACAAAGGAAGGGCACAGAATAGAAATATGCTACAGTCTGCTTAAAATGAACATCTCTCTGGCAATGAGTCTCTGAATAACGGTCCCAGTCACAGATGCTATTCTTCAACCACACCATTGATGGACATAAGGTTAAGAGAAAGGCATTCTTGGTTAACTGAAGCATTATCTAACTGCTGGCATTATCTTTCTCAGCCAAGCATATCAAGGCTTTTCCTAGGCTGTCCCTTTAATGTGATAACAAAACAAAACAAAACAAAAAGACATTAAGAAAGAGTCTATGTTGCTGGATACACTGTTTGGTAGAAACAAGGCTATATGTGCCTCAGGGCTTAAAGTTTAGCACTTCAAGTGCAAGTTTCTTTTCTCCTACCCATCTAAACAATAACATAAATACACCAAGACAAATGTATGCCATTCCTTACTCTAAACACACAGCTTTAGTTACTTTCAGTCTGCCTCCCAATCTTTTAAGATGGAAACCAGTGAGATTCTTTTCAAATTAACAATTCAAACTCCTCTTGTTTCCTGCTGTGACTCTTGGAGAGGTAATCTCTGCTGGTTTTCCATTTCAGGTATTCCTCTTTCAAAACACTCTGGCTCTTAATGACTGAGGGCTCCAAAGGTATACATAGAGGGCCAGTGTAGTATAGCAGTTAAGGTACCTGGATAGAAATCCACAGACTGGGCGTTCTAGTCCTGCCTTAGACAGAAAGCAAGCTGGGTGACTTTGGGTCAGTCATTCTCTCTCAGGAACTGGCCAGTCACTTCTAAAAATCTTGGCAAGAAAACTGCAAGGACTTGCCAGAAGTCAAAATGAACTTGAAGACACAAATTTCCTTTTCTTTTCTCAAAGGTATTCACCTGATAATGAATGCCCTCCTAATGTGGTGTTTGCCACCAATGAGTATTAAACCACAAATATTAAGCAGGCAAATCTAAGCAATCACAGAAAAACTTCAGCGAAAAGCTAATTTTAAAAAATAAAATTACAGAGAGGGAAAGCAAAGAAGCATCTGTTCTAACCTCAACTATTATGCCATTCCACATCTAATAGGTTCATACACAGAGGTTCCAAACCATGCAAGGTTTTAAAGCAAAGGTAGACCTAACCATAATCCTGACCTTATTTGTGGCCTAGGATGGGCACTTTCCTTTTTTTTGCAAAAAAATCAAGGACCTCAGGGAGTATGGTGACAACACTTTTAGCCCTGTGTGACTGACTATAGATATGTATTAGGGGTGAGTAAATAT